TGTATGGACATTATGTTCTTGAAAATGCAGAAGAAAAAAAGTCAAGGTTGTAGGCATTTCTGCAAGGTTGTCTAGGCATTTCTGACACTTGCTTCAAAACGTCTGCAAAAAGATCTGAAAAAAAAATTTAAAAAGGAATCATCAGAAAAAATAAGAGATTTAGATACAATTTATAGTTCAGAAAGTGATGTTAGTGATTTTTCTTTAAGCTCAGAATGCATCGAGTCAAGTTAGTCAAATGACGATTCTCACAAAGAAGAGTAAAGTTTATTACTGCCTAAAGATATTTTAAAGCGTACAGAACTAACTGCTGTAGGAGAAGGTCTTTCTACCAACCAGCACACTGCTATCATAAGCAGTGTAATAGCTATTTCAGGGGGAGAAATAAACAAATTTTTTGTGTCCAAATCATTATCTCTTCGAGCTGTAGATAACGTAATAAATTCGGAAGCTCAAAAAATTAGAAAGTATATAAAAGACTTGACTGACTCCAAATATAAGCTGATTTCTGTTCACTTTGACTGGAAAATATTTAAAGAATATACAGATAAAGTTTCAGTTACAAGAGAAAGATTGGCAGTACTAGTGAAAGTGAATGGGAAAACTGAGCTCCTAGGTATTACTCATGTTGAGTCAGGTTCTGGGAAAAATAAGTTCAAAGCAGTTTATAATCTATTAGATTCTTTTGGCCTTAGTCATCATCTACAGTGTATATGCTTTGATACTGCAGCTTTGATACTACAAGAATGGCCAATAAGCTAAAAAGGCCACTACTTTTCCTTGCCTGTAGATATCATATATTGGAAAAACACATTACCTACTTTAACAAGATATATACCTGTAGTAAAACATCTGGTCCAGAAAACCAGCTCTTTAAATACCTGAAATCTGTCTGGAATGATTTTGAAAAAGACATTGTTACATTGAAGAGGATTGAAACTCTAAATGGAACTTGGATAAATAAACAACATCTTGAGGCTGAAAAATTCTACAGACATGTAATAGATAATAGGATCTACAAAAAAAGATTAATTACAGTTTTGTAGTAGCTTGCTTAAAATAATTTAAACAATCTGTATACACAATCATAGTATAAAAAATCATAATCATAAATTTAAAAAATCCTTTATTTTTAGGATGGTAAATCAAGAAAGAATTATCAAGAGTTAGCGGAACTATCTTTGATTGTTGTTTCTCAAAAAGATATGTTCAAATTTCGTATTCCTGGTCAAATACATAACGCAAGATTCATGTCAAAAGCGTTGTATTACCTTAAAATGTATTTACTATTGGAAGCTATTCCAAGTTTATCAGAAGAAAATAAAGAAGAGATTCGTGAAATGGCTATGTTTGTCGGTATCTTTTACACTCGATGGTTTCTTAGAGCAGTATCGGCTGCTGCGCCATATCAGATTAAAAATAATCACTATAGATAAGAAAAAAGCGTAAAAAATGATGAGTTAATTTTACAATTGATGACTTAATTTTATATTGTTAAACATATTTTTAGCATATGAAAGCTCTGTGGCAGATGAAAAGGATCATGATAAACCTTCTTGGAGCTACTTTAGCAATAAAATTATTTGACAGGCACAGCTGTTATCTTGATCCTGTCTTAAATATGCTTGCATTAGCAGATAAACGTTGCCCAAACAGAGAAAATATTGCCACATTATTATACAATACACTTCCCACCAAACCAATAGTGTATCCACTTGAACGTGTTATGGTCAATAAAGAGGTTCTTCACTCTCTAGATTTTTCACAAGATCAGCCTCCATCTCTTTGTCCTCTAATAACTGAGCAATCTTGGCTCATCTCTGATAGTGATGAGACATGAAAAAGGTGAGTTGCAGTAGCTTAAGATCCCCTCGCAGTTTTGGAAGTTTAACGATTTTTATCTTGAGTTTGAATCTACTATTAAATCTCTAGATGTGATTAACGATTCGTCAGAGAGGACCATAAATCTAGTAAAAGAGCTAATTGGAAAATCAAGAAAAGAGAAGAAAAGACAGGACTTGTTCTTGTTAAAGTTTACAAAAGAAATAAAAAAGGCACAAAGAAAAAAGATTTAACATCAAATGTAATTTGTAGTATTTTAAAATGCTGATCGTTGGTTATTTAATTAAAGTTAAAAATTATGTTAATTTTGTTTTTATTTATTCCCACTCCTCGTACCTGACACTCGTAACAAAGTTATATTATTAGGGGAGTGGTAATCCACCTTAATCTAGATTGATCTCTAAGTTTAACATGAAAAATTATGTAATACAATAAACTAGATTTTGTAATAAAAATACCATAGAACTATACGTTGAGCTTTTAACCCTCTCTTTTTGGGGAGGGTGGCAACTTTACATAGTCATAACCTTTGAACGCTACAATATTGTTAAATGAAATTTGAAATCTGTTGATAAATGTAAATTTAGTTCAAAATAACTATAGTATAAATTTGGGCAACTTATTGCCCTCATCTTAAAAGTAGAGGAGGGGGGCTAAGTTTTACGGTTTTTCTAGACCTCAGGCTCCGATCACTGGAATTTTTTCAAATCATCACAATTTGATATAAGTATAGGTATACGTAGTTTTGAAGTTTTTTCCATGTCTACATGTTATTTATCACAAACAATCACAAACTGCAACGAAAGCTGCCGCGATCACTGAAATAATGAAAATCGTTTTTTTGTCAATATTTAACGACTTTTTTATAAGTTTTTCAGTGTTAAAAAAAAAAAAGCAAATAGATTGCCTTTTTATTTTTTTATATAGGTTCCTGCAAGAATATGAAAAAAAAAATTGGAATTTAATAATTTTTAAGGGTGGCACACTCGGGTCGAAAAACGTCAGAAGGGAAAAAAAAAAGTACTTTCGGGCCATGTGCCACGTTTAAACTTCAAAAAAAAAAAAAAAAATCCTATATAATGGGTTATGCATAAGTCTTCGAACTTTTTTTATAGAGTCGTAAAAAAATATTGTTTTTTAGATAAAAAAATGAAAATATATGGTAATAAAGAACATTCATTCTAGTATTTATTAATATATTTAACATATTGAATAGACGCCTCTATCAGCGATTTTTCAAAATTTTGTTTTAACACTCATCATCAGTCTTTGAAACAGATCTGGATCATTTTCTTTTATTTCATCTAATTTTCTCTTTATTCTTCGAACTAGTTGATATATACTACGTGCTCTCCAACCATTACTGTATACCATCTAACTTAAAATAGCCCAAAATGTTTCAATTGGTCTAGCCTGTGGAACATTTGGTGGATTAGTGCATTTTCGTACAAATTCTATGGAACTATCAATAAACCAATTTTCTGTTTTATTAGCATAATGAGCAGTTGCAAGATCTGGCCAAAACACAAAACTATTATCTTTATGATGTTCTCTAACAAATGGTATAAGCCTTTTCTTCATACATTCTTTCACATATATATTAGATGTTATTGAATTCTTAGATCTATGTATATAAGGTTCACAAAATCCATTTGAAGAAATGCAAATCCAAACCAATACCTTTTCTTCTAATTTTTTTTTCAACTTATATTTTACATTAACAGGGTCTAACAATTTATTATTTGTATAATATATATCATTTCCAGGTATATTTGAGTTTGATAGGTTAAAATATTTTTCGTCTACCATGATTATATCTTTTTCATGGAATACTTTATTAACTAATCTTCTCGATGATGTTGCTGCTCTCTGTTGTTGATCTTTTTAAAAGTTGCTTTTTGTTTTTTGTAGCATTTAATATCTGTTTTGAAATTAATAGTTCTTGAAATTGTGCTTTCGTTCACTTAAAATATGAAGCTAAATACTTTTGACTAATACCAGTTGAATTATTTAGCATTTTAGTCAATCGTTTGACTTTTTTCTCATCCATTTTTGGAGGACAACCTGGTCTAACCAAATCATTATACACAATATACTTCTCATATTTTGCAAGAATACTAAATATAGTTGACTTAGGTATTCCTTCATTTTTAAAATGTTTATATGTTAATTTCTTTTTATCACTTGAACGATTTTCATAGACTTCTCGATCAAACCTTGTCATTTTTTTTGTATAGAAGTCTAGATAAAAATTAAAAGTGATTTAAATACATTAATGTTTGATCTTCAAAATAAACAATAAGTTGAAAGTTGAAAAATTACTCTCCTTATTTAAATCAGTTTCAAAAAAAGTTCGAAGACTTATGCATAACCCGTTATAAAAAAGAGTCTGTGTACCTTAAAAACTTCCACTCTAGCCTTAAAAAACTTTTGATCTAAATTTCAACCACCCTTATTTACATATCTTATTTGATGTCTTGTATCATATTTGATATCTTATTCATATCTTATTTAAGCATAAATAAACTTATATTTGAAATTTACTCTATAACTGAAAGATTATCCTTTCCCTTTTCAGCATATATATATATATATATATATATATATATATATATATATATATATATATATATATATATATATATATATATATATATATATATATATATATATATATATATATATATATATATATATATATATATATATATATGATAAACTTTAAAACGTTATCATATATATATATACTGAAAATTTTATAAAATATTAACTTACCATTGACAATGTTGATAACCAACAATTTTATATGTTACTTTTATTATCGCGAGATATATTTTATAATTCTTTTTAATAAGCTTACTAGTAACCAATTTCTATAATACAGAATTATTTATTAAGGTATAATAGACTTTAATTTTGTCAACCAAGTTGCTTATCAAAAAAAAAAAGGAAATATTGATGTTTTTTAATTGTTTTGTTAGATTGTTTTTATATCAAAGGCTAATTTCCTATGCTATAATGTACTGTATAACTAATATAACTTTAATTTCAAAAATCATAATTTCAAAAACTTTATTAAATGATTAAAAAAGTTAAATATTGAAATTTGTTACTAAAACGCAACTAGAGCAAGGGCATTACAAAAACTTTAATAAAAATGCTTCACAAACACAACTATAACAAATGTTACAAGGGCATTTACATCGAAAATTATAAATTTCATAAAATCAATAAACAAAAAATTGGAATTCGAATTTTCTGTTTAAATAAAGTTTTCAAGATCTAGAGATCTTTGCATTTTTAAATGTAACAACGCCCAAACGGTTAACTACAACAGAGGAATTTAATTGTTCGCCGCACATTTCTTCTACAGTTTCATTATTAGTTCGACCGAATTTTGTTTTGAAAAGCGTTGCTAGTGTTTGATGAATGTGATATTTGTAATAAAAAGTCTCTGAAACCAAGAGTGGAAAGCATAAAACCATAGTTACAACAAGAACCATTATTAGTCCGCCAAAATTTTTAATACCTAGCGGAGTTTTAGTTTGAACAAAAAAAACTGGTTGGCAAAATTTAGACATCCATTTATTCTGCATATCTATAATTTTTTCTTCGTCTATTAGGCGTTGAATTGCATTGTTAATTTCTTCCAAGTGAGGCGAGTTTTTTTTTAAGGCAAATGAGTTGATAGATTTTGCAATCTGATCTTTGAACAAACGAAGTTGGCAATCGTGGTCGTTTGATGCGTACCAAAACATAAAGATATAATCATTTATGAATGCATCTAATGAACTTAAAATAAAATTAAATAAATAAAATTAAATTTTTTAATTTGAACTTAAATATAAATTTATTTACTTACCCATTTTTTACGCGATCTACTCCTTCTTTTAACGTGTTTACGTTGTACGCATCCATGAACTTACCGATTCTTTGGTATTCAGGTATGTCAGAAGACCTGAAGAATGATACAAAGCTTGTACTTTTTGCTGTTGCAAATTTAAAACTTGGAGTTGGGTTACGAATCTGAAGCGTTTACATCGAAAAAATTTAAAAAAAAAATCCAATGATTTTTCGATAAATGAAATAATTTTAAAAGTTCAAGCAAAAAGAATATAATATTTATAAAGTTTAACATAAGTTTATTTGCATGTAAAGTAAAAAAAATCAAATATAAAAATGCAAATAAAATGTTCAAAAAAAACATGTCATCTTTTTGTGAGGCATATAGGGGAGAGTGGAGAGAAGTGAGACAGGTAAATTTTTTTTAGGGTGATTGCAATATCTTTTTTATTTGATGTATAAACTGAACCAAACAAGTTCTTACAAATAAACCTTCTTTTTAGGCACCGATTCCATCCCCTTAGGTTTCCAACCAATTATCACTAAGTATATAAATTTTTGCTTTTAGAGAAATCGTACCATTGGGGTAAAGTGAAACAAGTGTGAGTAGAAGTGGGACAAATAAATTTAAAACGACATTTTAGCACAAATTATTAAATAGAAACTGATAAAATTATAAAATCACGTAATCGACATAAAAATGTTGAAGAGCTTTTATAAATCGAAATAATCAAATGGCAACGGGAAGAAGCGGGGGATAAATATTTATTTTTTCTATCCCACTTCACCCCCATGTAAACACTTTTTTAAGGAAAATTTCAAAATTAGGGCTTCGAACGCACGCAGGGAAAGAAAGCTATTTCTGCTAAATAGAGGGGAAGAAATTTAATTGTTAACATTAAATAACAGTAATTAGGCACCACTCCTAATTAGAAATTTCAGGCTGCTCCACTTCTCCCCACTCTCGCTTACGTTATTCAAAGTACTTTGCAGAATTTTCTAGTGTTTCAAATAAGTAACTTTTGAAGTTAATTATTTTTTAGTTCAAAATAAATCATTTTTAAAGTTAAAAAAATGTTTAAAGAAGTAAATTTTCTTACATTTTACAAAGAAATTAAAATATTTTATATAGTAAGAACGTAGTTTTAAAACTATAAGATATACAAATAATATAATTTATTTTAACCCTTTCATCTTTTGATCCTAGAAATGGATTTTTCTCCTGTGTTTGAATATTATATTCTGCAAGCTTTGCAGTGTAAGTACTAACAAGAATAACCATTCCAAACGTATATATTAGTGCTGTTAATCTTGCTCCTGCTTTTACTGGATTAACTGGATCCATATCTTTTTGCAGAGTAACTCCAGCTATATATATCATGCTATCGTTTAAAGTATAATATACCTCAGGTGCAAATTTTTGATCTTGCAAACTTGCTATGTAAATAATGTTTTCAAACAAATAATTTATAACTATCATTCCAATAACTAAAAACCAAACAATTAGTTGAATAGTTCCAGAAAGGGGCTCCATAAACTCCCAATTAAAAAACGATAATTGAAGAGCTTCCGGTTTTGTTATTATGCCAGTGTATTGTTCCATGAAAGGTATTGTAAAGTCTATGAATTTCGATCTTTCTTCGGTAACTGTCAGTATAGCTAAAGCCATGTCAGCGTTGTCCCTTACTAATTCACCTATAAGTCCATTCCACTCGCCTTTTACAAGTTCGCCGTACTTTGAGTCCTTAACAACGTACAAATCCACATCAACATTTATATAGTTCATGATAGATAATAATAAAGAAATACCGTAACCTAGGCAACAAACTTGTTTCCATTCTGATTTTTCCTTTTCAAATATTCTGCAAATAATTCCATTGCATGTTTCATCATTAATATCTTTTTTAGTGTCAAGCATAAATGTAAATGGCGGCTCTATTAAAGTAACAACTCGCAATTTTTCTTGAAATAATTCATCTAAATTAATTTAATTAATATATAAATCATATGTTATTATATCGAAATTTTGCGAGGTTAGAATTATTTTGTTCTATCTCCATGTTTTTCCGAACTGAGAAAATCAAGTTCAAAGTTTTAAATGGGCCTGCATAGAGTTCGGACTATTGTTATAGTAATTGTAAAAATTAAATACAATAACACATTACAATACAATAATATTGTATTGTAATATCATAGATGTAATTAAAACATTATTTATTGCTATTGTATTGCTGCGATTAAAAACAGCTACAATAACGCATTTATTATTATTTGGGCTCTAGAAAATTCAGAGGTGCCCGTGACGTATATCTATAAATTTTATTTATATTGAGAAATGAAGTGAAGCCAGGAAAGCCAAAGAAGTATATATATTACGTATACTTTATAAATATTAAGTTCTGGGGCGCTCGTGGAACCCATTTCTAGCAACCATTTACATATATAAATTTTATTTATTTTAAATTCAATAATATAACTGTTTAAATAATAATTTATTTAAAACTAACATTAATAATATTCATTCAAAATCATACAAACATATAATTTATCATATGCTTGTAATTAAATAATTATTTACTTTATGAAGTGAAATTTTTGATTTTTTTATAAATTTGTCTAAACTGATATTGAAATGCTTCACCAGATGATGACGTCTAAACTAATTAATTAACCACATAAAGCATGTGAAATTTTTTTTATTATATAATTAACCGCTAATGTGTAATAAATTGCAGCGTTATGGAATCAGACAACCATTGACCTGGGTAATTGTCAATTATATTGTCTAAAAATATGAACTACTTTTGTTTTGCAAAAAAATTTCTTTATTTTCAAAATGTTCATCACCTATCAGACCTACCAGTAAATTTTGTAGGCGGTCATTTTTGAAAATTGAGGCAGTTTAGAATACCAAATAAATATTATTCTTGATTTATGTAACGAAATTCTTGTATAACTTTGCAACTAAATCAAAAAGTCCAGTTACTTTATGAAACACACACAGCCATAAAAACCTCAGGAAAACAAAAACAAAGTTATGTTAGAGTAAGTGGAAGTTGAGTAAGTTTTAAAACAATTGGATATTGGAAATGGAATTTGATATGTGCCTAATGTAAAAGCAAATAACTAAGTGGAAGAAACGGTAGTAATTGTTCATCTCTATCCCTAGCACTAAAAGATGCGCTGGTCAAATCAAACTTGCTTTTATAGAGCTATTTAAAGTTTGCAACGAGAAAAATGCTACTCAGTAAAGATGAAATGCAATACAATGATTACTGTTATTGTAGTGGGTCATTGCAACACTTTTTTTTTCAGATATTGTTATTGTATTATGAAGATGAATTGCAATACAATATTTATTTTTATTGCATTACAGTAATAAAGTAATTGTAAACCACTAGTATTGTTCTTATTTATTGTATGAAAAACCACTAGTATTTTTACTTGTTATTGTATGAAAAAGGTAACACAATAACAATAGTTATTATTTCTACTATTGTTTTCATTTCAATTACAATAGCCTGAACCCTAGGCCTGCAGACCAAATAACATAAAAAATGCAAAAAAAAATAATTTGCATTAATTTGATATACAGGCTGCCACAGTTTCAAAGAAATTATTTTAAAATATCTAAAGTGCAGATGTCTGAATTACTACACTCTGATTTGGAGATAACAATGTAATACACACTTTTTTTTATAAAATACAGTATTTTTTTGTTCTATCTCTATTTTCTGTTTAAAAAACATAATACAAACTAGTATTTTTTATATATATTGTGGCAAGATAAATGTATATTTTGGCAATTAAAGTACTGTAAGGTACATATCTCTTTTATTAGAAAAAAAATCTAATTTTACACTAGGGAAAAAATTACATAAACACGCTATTTTGTCTAAAATTCAATTCAACAGAGAAAATAAGTAATATATTGTCTAAAGTATGTACCAAGATCTTCACAACAAAATAAAAATTTAGTTATAAATTCTAATACTATAGCATCTAAAATTGCACAATAATAATATATCTTAAAGAATAATTAGTTAACCAGCACCTCAAATAGTTAATCCATTAAAAACATAACATTTTAGTAAGAAGCCCGTATAACAACATAACATATAAAGCATAAATATTTTGATAATAAAATAAATTACTTTAAAACACTCTTATAAAATGCAATATTTACAGCAGGCATATAGTTGAATATACTTTGAAGGGCATTGGTCAGATCATTTAAAATTTGAGCACGCTGGCATAATGCAAATTGTTAGAGGCTTAATTCACGCTTTTGAACAAACATAAAAAAAAAAGCAATTTATTTACCCGAAATATAGATGTTTTAAATAAGAATCTATTTTACCGACTTTCCTTACCTACATTGCTCTATGAAAATAACTTTCTGTAGTATACATAATCTGAATATTAAATTATCTGGATATAGCGAACAAACTTAAGATTAAAAGCCTACAATAGCTAAAAAGTGTTTGAAATCCAATTTTAGACAGAAAAAAAAAAATTATGCTATGAAGAGCGGGAAATGCTCTAATTAAACCAAGGGGAATAAGTATTTCAACAGGAGCGAGTGCTCTATCAATTTGAATATGGATTTTGTCAACTTTTTGTATACTAGAATTCTCTGGTTTAAAACTGTGGTTAAACTACTCTAATTTTTAACTAACAAAAGGCGATAGGAAAATGGCTATTTCATTGATGGTTTGATGAAGTTTCTTTTAAAGTTGTTCAGTTCAGATTTTGCATGTCATCCATAGACCAAAAATCAACAAATATACGTGTACATTTTCATCACTGATATTTTGTGTGCATTTAAATTCTTGTGAGAATTGTAAATCTTGTAATATTTTTTTTGGTTACAGACTTGCATGGAAAATTTTCTTTGTTTCTATTTTTATATGGATAATCAGATTGTTTTAGCTGCTTTCTCACATTCTGTGTCTAAGTTTTAGGTGCATGTTTTACCTTTAGAGTTTTGTTGTTGTTTTACTGTAATAAAAACTGCGGCAGCTAAGATTTTGACGTAAATAAATTATTGTAGGATAAAACGGAGATTATTAGAGCACATAATAATTTTAAATTATAAACAGGGTTAAGGAGATAGAACAAAATGCAATGTCAAGTATAGTAAGTTATTTATTTATTTTTTTTACTGATTTATTTTTAAAAAGTAAATATTTTATCTATAAAAAGAAAAAAAATTGACAAATCAAAAAAACTCAATTTTTTTGATTTGCGAAGATATAACAAAAAAAATTTTAACCTCGCGATTTGTTGTTGATTCTTATATTTGATACTGTTTAATATTAATTATATTCCAGATAACTGAACTTTAATACCTGGTAAAAAACGGAAAGCTGATAATCCATTTTGATCAGAGATTGATAAATGCCCTAGATTAATTTCTGCACTAGAGTTTGCATAGATTAAACTTCCAGTTGCGCTTTTTGAAATTTGGTATATTTTTAATGAATACCTTTTCCTTTGGGACTTTTCCATTTGCGTAATAACTGTTTCAGCAAGTCTGCATTCCAAGCAGTAACCTAATTTATCACTAAAAATAGCATTATTATCTAAACATTCAACATAAAACGGAAACCAATAAAAAATAAATTTTGTTTAAAAAATAGCATCACCATAGCAACTTTAGAACCATACATGTTTTAACAAATAAAGTATCATTTCGGGGACTGATTCTATCCCTGAAGATTGACAGCAGGTTATAATAAAGTGTATAGATATTTTTTATTTTAGAGGAACCATGCCATTTAGTATTCGTATACGTATTCGGTATTCATTATGTTATTCGTAGAATTACATCTGATAATTACACAAAAATGATGTGAGAGAAGTGGGACATCACTTAATTTTATTTGTCTAAATTCACCTCTTAAAAAATAGTTTTTGGAGGTACTTTTAAAAAGCGTGGTTTTTTATTAGACGCAGCTTGACAAAGCGATGTATGCTAAATAGAGGGAAAGAAATCTTATCGTTTACATAGATAACAGTTCTTAGGAACCTCTCTTAATTGGACCGTACTACTTCTCCCGTGTTTCATTTCTACAAACTCTCGGGAAAAACCCCCTCTAAATTTACCCAAAATTCTAAAAAATATTTTTACGAATTTATGCATTTTTATTTATGCAGAATCTAAAATTGTTAATTTATTCATTGGTTTTCATTACTAAAACCTTAAAATTTTGCATTTTCTAAGGATAACTCAAACATTTAACCCTAGCAACGTTCATAGCAACGGTGTAACATCTTGTTGAATATTTACAGATATTAAAATAAATGCAGTAAAATGCTTGATTTGGCTTCTTTACTAATCCAGCAAGCGAAATACGTCTGATTTATCAAGTCAAAATAAGGTTTTCTGTTATTTCCAATGATATATTATATAACACTAGATGTCTAACTTCAATCCGAAAATTGAAGCCGCTTTTTGCCCCTTTACAAATGGCGGATTAAAAATGTTAACAAATATTTTTAACTTTTCTTTTCTTAAATGAACTAAATATATTTTAAATTAAAATACTATTTACGTAAAAGTGTTAAGCGGAAATTGTAATACTTGTAAAATAATAATTTATGATTCCTTAATTTATTTACGATTAAATAAGATTAAGGCCGTTTTCCACAAGACGAAATATTCGCGCAAAGCGAATTTTTTCGCTATGACGAAACGTTGTTTTGATTTCCACTTACTTTCTTTCGTGCTACTTTTTTTTCAACAATAAAAATGGCAGCAATAAGTTTACGCTGTATGTTTAACTAAAAGCAGTTAGTACTTTTTTAGCATACTTTCTACTTTGAAGCATGTGAAAATTTCTTTCTATGCATTAATATAAACATTTCTGCCTTTATATGTAAGATGTGATATTATTTTGTAATATAATCATTTCATATAAGGTTTTTTTTACAAAAAATATAAAAAAATAAATGCTAAACTCTAATATGAACATTTCGATTAAAAAACTGTTACTGCAAGAACGAACAGCAGGTTTAACTCTATGTAAAATTTTCCACAAAAAGGTTTATCTTCGTGGGGCACTTAAAGATAGACATTTTTATAAAGTGTAACTTTCGTAATTGACAGTGTGAAAATTTATATTTGTAAATTCTCGATTTAGTTTTCTATAAAATCTGGTCATTTTTTATGTAAGTCTGGCCCCTTGTTTGATGAATTTACTCATGCTTGCCAATTTTAAGAGTAAGTTCATATAAAATAATAAGAACGCCAGGTTAAAGCCCGTTCTCCATTCAGAAATTTTTGCGCTTTGGAGGAGCGGAAAAGTTCTTTGATCATGCGCAAAAAGTTCTGAATGGAGAACGGGTTTAAAAAAACTGTTTGCGCATGCTCAAAGAACTTTTCCGCTTCTCTAAAGCGCAAAAAGTTCTGAATGGAGAACGGGCTTAAGAATTTTGTTTTTTGCTACTTTAAAAACAACATGTTTTCGCTTTTTTTTTTAATGTTGACACCACGTGATATAATATTCAAAACTTGGTTGGTTTTCGCTTATGGCGATTCGCAAAAAGTCGAAATGACTCCGACTTTTTTTTTCGCTGCAGCGAAACGCTGTAGCAGTATAATCGCCAAAAATGTTAAATGCGCATGCTTAACGACGAAAAAATTCGCTTCGCGCGAATTTTTCGTCTTGTGGAAAACGGCCTTTAAAGTTTTGAACAGAAAAGTAAAACGACAGACGCTTTTGAAGCATTTTTATGAATTAAAATACTTTTTAATAAACATCGGCTCATAAAAAAAACTTTTATAAGTACTTTATAATTATCAAAATTTGTTTTTGAATTATCTTTAATTTATTGGGAACTTTTGACTTGCATTTTTAACTTTTATTCTACGCTTCAACTTCAGTTTTTGCCCTTTTTTACAAATGGCGGACTATTGTTATAAACAAAAAAAAGCGGCTTCACTTTTTGTCCAATAAAATCCCGCAAGTTAGACATCTAGTTATATAAAATATCATTGGTTATTTCTGAAGCTTATAAAGTAGACAGTTTTTAAAAAAATTTTATAAAACGAGTACAATGTCCAGAGTAAAATCAAGAACAATAATTAAAAAAAAGAAGAGAAAAGGCTTTTTTAGGGAAAAGATGTAACAGTACTGATATGTTAATACCGAAATGGAATTAAATCATAATCCTTCTGTAAATATTTTAATTGAATCAAATGCCACAACTGTAAATAAAAACTATGTAATTAACAAATCTGGATTTAACTTATCCTCTCGATCCACCATGCAAGACAAAAAAGGACTTGCACCAAAGTTGTTTATCAAGTTCTTTAACTGTAAACATGAAAATGTAACAGAGGCTATGACATTAATTGTTGAATAGTATATACAATGTGTGCACTTGAATACGGACATCCTGGTATAAAAAAATTTACCACCTTAATGAATATGCCACAAGCAATGACACAAAATAATTAGGACATGTTTGCTGTGAAAATTGGTGCTGTCACACAAGGAGTTGCTGAAGATACCATACTTGATGCAGTAGCAGATTTGCGTAAACATGTTACTAATGATGACATTGTTGATATTGGTGTGTCGTGTGAAGGTACTTCGCAGAAAAGAGGCTTTTCATCCTTAAATGGTGTCTTTTCTGCACTATCAATGAATACCCGAAAAGTTTTAGATGTGGAACCAATGTGCAAGTTTTGCAAAGGATGCTTTTTAAAGAAAGACATTTTAAAAACAAACCCTACAGCCTATGTCCAATGGAGAAGCTTTCACGTTTGTAAATACAATTATAATAGATCTGCAGGCGGTATGGAGACTGCATGTGCAAAGCGTGTGTTTTCAAAGTCTATTGATAAATACAAACTGCGATATGTGAATTCGGGGACACTACAAGTCAAAATGTCAAAGGCATTCAAGTTGATAAATTAGAATGCGTTAGACACTATCAAAAATGTGTTGGTACTAGGTTACAAAACTTAAAGAAGAAAGAAAAAGGTCTTAGTGGTCGTGGTTGTTTTACAGATGCCGTAATTGATTGTCTACAAAGATTTTTTGGTGTTGCTATAAAGCAATATGCTGGCAACTTAGCAGGTATGAAAGCAGGTGTTTTTAGTTTTGTTGATTGTTTCATGTTGCATCTTAAAAAACCAATAATTTGCATTTTCCTCACTGTATTACCGGTAGCAATAGCTGGTGCAAGTTTAACCTTGATAAAGCAAATAAAACTAAAACTTACAAACCAGGTCCAGGTCTTCCAATGAATATTATTTTTAAAATTAAACCAATTTTTTGGAAATCTTATATAAGATTCAGAGCTACAAAATTGTTAACATGGAAAAACACAGAACGCAAACGAGTCGTTCAACAGTAAGATTTGCGACAGACTACCGAAGACCACGTATGCGTCACTCAATAGTTTAAAATTTGGTGTGTACAATGCAGTGGCAAATTTTAATCTTGGTATGAAAGCTTCGATATTAGTTTTTGAAAATTTAAACATGTTACCAGGTGCTTTCATGTTAAAAGGTTGCAATAACATTAACAATAAACAAAATAAATTTGTCCAACTATAGAATGAATGAAAAGAATAAATTGAGAAGGCATTTAAATAGAGCAAATAAAACAAAATGAGATTAATTTGGAAAAAGAGAGTAAAACCAATGAAGCAGGAGGATTTTAATTACTATTTTTTTTGAATTTTTGTTGACGTGGTTTGCTGTTATTTAATAAAAAAATTGTTTAACTCCCGTTTGCTGCGAGTAATGCAAACTGTTTAAGCGGTTTTTAAACAGCTTGCATTACTCGCAAACTGTTTAAGAACCGCTTCTGAAATTTTCAGAGAATTTATATTAAATGACTTAGAGTGTTTTGAGTTGAATAGATTTTTATTAGAGGTGTACCTGATATTTTTGCCGGATATGGCGGATATTGAATTTTTTTAAAGTTCTTTAAGTGTTTATGAAGAAAAAACAAATCTTGCCAGTCTTCAATAAATAGTATTCAAGATCTTACTTTAAAAAATCAAGAGAAAAACTGTATGACATGGGATATGCTGACGAAGTATAGAAAATAGTAATTAAAAAAAAAAAAAAAAAAATTGGCTTTAAAAACGATTTTTCCTTATACTTTATTAACGCATATACCTGTGTTATATTAGTTTTTTCTTGATTTTATTATTTTAAATCTTGAGCTTTATTTAATGTAGAATGGAAAAACTTTTTTTTTCTTCATAAACACTTACAGAACTTTAGAAAAGTTCAACATCCGCCATATCCGGCAAAAATATCCGGTACACCTCTATCTTTTTATTATTTTTTTTCCTGTTGTTTATGCTGTTTTAATTTCAAAATATTGAACATTGGACTTTGACCTCAAACAACTTAATATATTATTTGTTTAAAAAACCCTTTTCAACTTAAAACACTCTTCTGCTAAATACAAAATATTGGACAGCGTAAAGCCTGTTTTGACTGTTTTTTGAAAGGTTTTTATGGTTACCATAGCGACAGGCTACCATTATATATATTTTTTAAGTTTTTATTTTATATTTTTTTAATATACGATATTG